AACTAGTGTGTAACAACCGCAACACAATTCTTCACAAAATTGCCTTTTGTCTTGCACAACATGCAGATTTGTGTAATACTCAAGATTTTAAAAGACACATGATCAACTAGAATCAAAAGACATATGCCTTTTTCAAGTGACTTAACTACATTATGTACAGTCACACTCTTGGGGGGGCGATGTGGGCTTCAAGAGTATGTACATTTTTGAAAAGGAGGGGAAAGAACTGAAGACAAACCATATATGTATTGTTCAACCATTTTGTACCAGAACATACTCAGGACTCGTGAACATCTGTCTGTGGAGGGCATACACACCTCTCCCCCCATCATAGTTATGTAATTGATGTTAATCTTCCACATGATCACATGCACTCGCATGCAAATATCACATGCAAACATGTGTCGAACACAAAGGTCAAGCAGATTGAAAAATGCATACAGCATACACATCTGAATCTGTACGCGATCATGCCACACTTTACACAACATACAGATCTTCAGACTTTTGGCATCATGCTAAAGGAGCTTAGATTGTAAATACTTTATTGTATTTGTAAAGGGCACTTTTGTTTTGTTTATAGTCAATCCTTAATTTGTGAAAAATACCATTGCAGTAGTACCACTTTAGTTGTCCCCCTATTTCTAAATATTGAACGTTAATAAGCATAAGGGTCTGACGTCTGACAAATGATGTACCAAAGAATTTAATACACCACTTTGTAAATTGATCATCTAATGCAACACATCATATATGTATAAATTGACCACAGCAACCCACAAAATTAATAATTAACATAGACTGCTTTAACAATACTGCCTACTTTGTAGTCACCTAATACTCTTTGGGGCATTTCAATACAGTTGTATGCCGCTGTAACCATATTGAGTCAACTGAAATGCCACAAAAGACTAGGGCCTACCAAGTAACCACATTCCTCAAAGATAACACAATACGATCAAACCATCTGGAGAAAAGATGTTCAACAAAATCACTTGACTTCCATGAAATTTCAATTAATAAATTTTCACTGACTACATCATCCAATTCAAAATAGATCATGTCAGTTCATAGCAAACATGCATGCAACATGGAGGTAGGAAACATAGATCATTATGCAGGAGTAGTAGGGAAGGTGGGGGTACGGGACCAAAATGGAAAAAATCTGTGGCAAGCCTGGACACGCCGCTCTAGTTTTAAAAATAGTTGGGGGAAAAATATAGGGGAATCCCCCGCGGCAAATTTTTAGAAATCTGACGTCAGGTTCGGGAGCAAAATAGAAAAATGTGTGCCAAGTCAGGGCCTGTCGCTCTGGAGTTAAAAGTTTAATTTGTCGTCGCTAAAATGAGGTAATGTCACCACCACGTGACCTTGAAAAAATTTGGCATAAACAACGTGACCTTGATACGTGTTGAGGCACGATAGAAATTTGGCGTAAACGACGTGACCTTGAAACTCGGGATAAACAATGTAACTTTGAAATTCCGGATAAAAAAGAGGGAATTTCCGCTACAGTCAAGCTCTCATGGATTATGAAACAATTGATCGGCCTCCAAAAAAAATGAGAAAAAAAATATATTTCCTATAATAAAATGGAGAGTAATATGTTCAGACCGACCGTCAAAGGATATTCTAAGTGGAACAAAGCCACGCTGCGTGATTACGTGCAGCGATATAATATACCGCACTATGAAAATGTTTCTCTTACTCGTAAAGTCCACATCGAGGGGATAACAAATTATGAAAGTAAATTTAAAAACTTGAGGAAAAAGACACTACATGAGCTCAAACAGATTGTAGACGAACAAAATCTAAAATACGTACCGACGGGTTATAAAGGACGGTTTTTTGAAAAAAGATTTAATCTCGGCGATTAAAACATACAGACAACCCGAAGACTTTACAGAGTCAGCTTTTAGAGAAACGAGAAGGTTTAAAAATTACTACAGGAACTGGGAATTAAACCCCAGACTTTATAACCATGATTTAATCAAACAAATCAAACCGAACGATATCATCGAAACGATCGAAGCTATTCATTATAGCAAGCCGAAAGCCGTTTTAAATCAAAGTCAAATAAAACAGGTTTTAAAAGAAGAGATCGAAAAGCTATTTAAAAAGGATGAAAGGTATACGAATCAAGGATCGGGTTGGGTAGTCGATACAATACTCGCGTTATACATCAACATCAACATATATAATCCAGCGAGAGGTAGTTCTTACATAAACCTACCCGGACATCTTAAAATTTAACAGGCGATGATCAACGTACAAAACAAAGACGACGAGTGTTTGAGATGGTGTTTGAGATCTACCTTGGGGTTATACACGGACAAAGTAAAAAATCAAATAAGAAATAATCCTCAATATAAAATCAACGAAAGCAGACCGTCGACTTACATCAAAGACGACGGACTCAAATTTAAAGGCGTTGACTTTCCGACACCGGTCGATCAGATACCCAAGATAGAAAGACAAAATAAATTATAGATAAACGTATACGGTTATGAGGGTGAGATATATCCATTATACGTGTCTAAAAACTACGGGTCACGATAGATTGATCTGCTTTTGATTTCTAAAGGTGACAAGCATCACTATTGTTAGATAAAATATTTTACGAGGTTGATGTACGACGTTACGAAACATAAATGTAAGAAATATTTTTGTCGAAGATGTCTATGTCATTTTACCAATCAAAACAAATTAGACAGACATATCGCCGATTGTAAGGGTATAGATGCACATCCATCAAAGATTGTATTTCCGACAGGTAAACCAAAATACATAGACGGGCAACCAGGCGAAAGAGACGTACCGATATTATAATTTAAAAACTATAGACACAAACAAAAAGCACCATTTGTCATTTATGCTGACTTTGAATCCATACTACAAACAACAACAACAACACCCACACAAGCACTAACATCTAATCCTACTCACGCAGACAAAGAGACGAACACAAAAAAGATTAACGTTCACAAAGCTAGCGGTTATTCGCTAGTTGTCGTCCGATGCGACGGAAAAATGTGTATCAAGAGACTTATAGAGGCAAAGACGCTTCAACTAGATTTATAACAACGTTGTTACAATAACAAAGCGATATTAATTGTCTATTTGAAAAACCCCAACCCATAAAATTTAACGAGCGAGCTAAAGACCATCATGATAAAACAAACGCGTGTTGGATTTGTGAAAAAAACAATTTATTCCAATTACTCGAGCAACTGTCAGTGCCAGAAACCCAGAGAACCCTAGACGATAAAAAAAATGAAAGAATATCACTACAAAAATAGTAAGGGATTTATCGAGTCTAAATGTCTCGACTGCAATAAGAGCATTAATCAATTTAGAAAGGTGAGAGATCACTGCCACGTCACTGGTAAATATAGGGGTGCCGCATATTGTAACGCTTATTGTAACCTCAAACTACAAATTAAACCCGGTTGTACACCGGTACCGGTCTTTTTCACAATTTACAAAATTACGACGCGCATTTAATCATGCAGGGAATGACAGAATACGATAGCCAAACAGAAATACAAGTTATGGCTAAAAATTCAGAAAAGTATATTTTGTTTTCGATAGGAAATCTACGATTTTTAGACTTGTTTAGTTTTATGGCATCATCGTTGGATAAATTCGTGAAAGCTTGTCCAAAAGAGTCGTTTCATCTACTCAAAAAGCATTTTAAACATCCTGACTCGTTATTACAAAAAGGAATTTATCCCTACGAATATATGAACTCGTTTGATAAGTTTCAAGAGACCAGCCTACCCCCCATCGACAAGTTTTACAGCAGACTAAAAGACCAACATATATCGCAACAAGACTATGACAGAGCTCAACGCGTGTGGAACGAGTTTAATATACAAAATCTAGGAGAATATCACGACTTGTACGTGACTACCAATACGTTATTACTTGCAGGCGTATTTGAAAACTTTAGAAGAACGTGCATAGAAAAGTACAGGCTAGATCCAGCCAACTATTACACCGCACCCGGATTGTCCTGGGTACTCTATTGAAACACTCGGAAGCTAAACTCGAACTGTTGCAAGACGTCGACAAACACTTATTTTTTGAAAAAGCAAAACGAGGAGGCATATCTAGCGTGGATGGACTGAGACATCACAAAGCCAATAATCAATATCTCGATGACTACGATTCAAACAAGCCCTCGAGTTATATCGCTTATCTGGATGCCAACAATCTGTACGGTTGGGCTATGAGTCAATATCTACCGGACAGCGATTTTAAATGGACACCCTCGAAACCGTTTACCGAAGAAAGAATATTAACGCTTAAGAAAACGTCCAACACCGGTTACTTTTTCGAAGTAGATTTAGACTACCCGTACGATCTACACACCAAGCATAACGATTATCCCCTAGCGCCCGAAAATATGGTCGTACCCCAAGCTTGGATGTCTGATTATCAAAATGAGTTATTGGATACCGAACCTAGTAGCGACGTACAAAAATTAACGTGTACGCTTAATCCAAAACAAAAATACGTGTTGCACTACGTTACGTTGCAGTTATACCTTGATCTCGGTTTGAAACTAAAAAAAGGTACATCGCGTGTTAAAATTTAAACAACCACCTTGGATGATATCTTACATCGATAAAAACACGCAACTCCGAATAAAAGCAACCTCTGATTTTGAGAAGGACTTTTTTAAACTGATGAATAACAGCGTGTTTGGTAAGACGATGGAAAACGTTAGAAATCGAAAAATAATTCAAAAACCGAGCTATAAAACAACAACGCCGTTTCCAGAATGTGACCTGTCGTTTGTCGAAACATATAAAACGACAACCGTGTTATAAAAGCCCATTTACTGCGGAGTGAGCATCTTAGATCTCTCAAAGACGCTCATGTACGATTTTTATTACAACCGATTGAAAGACAAATACGGAGATAAAATCAGGTTGATGTATACGGATACGGACAGTCTGTTGATTGTCGTTCACACGGATGACATATGCAAAGACATGCGATCTCACGGGCAACACTACGACTTTTCGAATTACAATCTGGATCACGAGTTATACGATCCAACCAATAAGGAAGTGATCGGTACATTTAAAGACGAGTTTGGAGGTAAGGTCATTCAAGAAGCAGTTTGCGTAAGACCTAAGATGTACTCGATTTTAGCAGATGACAACAACATCACTCTTAAAAAGGCCAAGGGGGTCACAAAATCAGTCACTGACAAAAAATTGAAACACCGACACTACTACGACTGCATCTTTAAAAATAAATCTAAAACAGAAACGATGACTCAAATTCGATCGGAAAAACACATCCTTTACACCATATCGCTAGATAAATTGTCGTTGAGTCCGTTGGATCCCAAGAGGTACATTTTACCGGATGGAGTACACACGCTCGCTATCTTTTGGCTTAACGTCTATCTATGTCTGGCTTGCAAATGTGGGGGATGAGGCAATTGCCTTGGAGCGGAACAGAAAATGATCATTTGTGAGAGACCTTTGGTTGTTTATCTCAACGTATCTCGAGAACCCGATATCAGAGCACACTGGGGGTAGTGGTTTTGTAAAGAGGATGAAGTTCCCTTTCAAACATTTGATACAAACAACCAACAAAATGTCTTGCAGTGGTCGGTTGTATGAGTTCACGTGGCCAGCGTGTTGCATGCGGTATGCAAATTGCAAGGTCAATTGCGCAAGCTGTAGAGCTGTCTCACACACATTGATCTGTTGCGCGTTTGGGCCCCAAACTTTTCATTATGATAAAAAATAGCGCATTCCTACTGTCTCCGATCTATGAAAAAAAGGCTAATACTAGTGTATTTTTCCATGCAAACGTAAATTATAGTGACGATCTCGTGTCATCAAGTCTGCTTCATCGGATCGGAGTACAGCCCACATTCTGGTATCCCACACCGTTGGTTCTTACCGTACGAAGATCCGTGCTAATGCACTGCTATACGCCTCGGCGGAATGCGCATCCCTGCTTCGTCATACCGCCAGGGGGCGCCCCACTACCTACGAGCTTTTGCTGAGCGAGGATTCCGACGAAATTCAAGCTTACTTCGACTGTCAGCCTGCAGAGAATAATCCAGGTTACAATAATGTTTGGGAAGCATCATGGAATCGCGTTTTCATATCAGTACTAGAAAACAAGGGAAAAAAGGTTTGCATTTTCATTATTACATTGGAATGAAAATGTTCGTGAATTCGTGAATCTTCAGTTTCTCATCATTGAGGTTTATAAGTTGAAAAGTGTCATCAGGTTTTCTACCCCTTATTATAGTTCAGAATCAGATTAGCTTTCACACAATGTTTCCATGTTTTATTATTTAAATTAGAATCAGTTTCGTTTGTTTTACTCGTTTGTTACCAGCAGAGTGTTCAAGCCCGCAGCCCCTTGGTATGGAGGACGGGACAATCCAAGATAAACGAATCACGGCGTCCAGTAGTTACAGCTGTTGCCCTGCCAGTGAGGCACGCCTCGACGACAACGGATGGGCAACCTCAAGGTAGGTATCAAGGTAGGTAGGTAGGTTTCCTTTACATTATACAAAAAAAATCTCATCCCCAGCCAAAGCCCTACCCGGATGTGCATTTGAATTGCACACTGTAACGAGTTTCAATAATTGTGATCGATTTTCAAATCCATTCCAAAACCGAGTTTGCGGATAATTGTTATTTCATTGTTCCTCTTCCTCTCTTCTCTCTGTGTACAGTGTCGACGCCAATCCCTGGATCGAGGTGGACCTCGTTCAGAGTACAGTGGTGAGTGGGGTCATCACACAAGGCGACGGCCGCGGCACTTGGTATGTGAAGAGGTACGTGGTGGCGTATCAGAAGCAGCCCTCATCTGACTATGAACACGTTAATAGAAACGGAGACATCAAGGTAAACATCAATCTTTACTAAGTCTTGCTGTAAGCTTAATTTAACTTTTGTACAGTTTTGAAAAGAAAATGAAAAGGTATTTTTCTCATATTTTGTTTGGGCTTTATTGCAGTATGACAACTTCATTCTGTATGACTTTGTGTGGCTCCATGCTTATGCAACCAATGAGCTACTCTGAAATCGTGTCTGGAATTAAAAACGTAAATGGAACCAACAATAATTTCAGATCATGTAAACAAGAAATGAGAAATTGTATGGAGCGAGTTTAATTAGCTTTGTGCAATAGGGTGAGGTTTAGGGTTTTTAGGATCAAAAGCAGGACTTTCTTTGTTTGATACGTAGTGGCAACCAAAACAGCAACCTCAGAAAAGATTGATGCTACATTCTCTTAAAGAGGGGTTATTTAAAAGAAAAAAGCTTTAGTCCCCCCCCCCCCCAAAAAGCAAAATGCTGTGAAGCTCAAAAAGAAACCCAAAAAAGCCCAGTCAAGATAGGTCTATATGGCTGAAAATGATCTTAAATGTGAGTCCCACCCAGGACAAACAGTTTACTTTATAACTTTATAACGCTTTGTTGAAATTCTGTTTCAAAGGAAGACCCTGTCAGTTAAGAATGCCTACTTTGTTGTAGTTTTGGTCCTAGTCTTTACTACAGGTAGGCCATTTTGTTACAAACGTGCGTTTATGCGTTGGGATTTATTTCAGGTGTTCATCGGTAACACTGATGGCAACACCCCGGTCACTAACCTTGATTAGATGCTTTATGGGCTCCGTGTATGAACAAGAGAGCGCGCTTTTTGAAACACTTTCGAGAATCCCTCGAACTTTAACAGTCACCGTGTTGTAGTAAATATTTCATAATTTAAAATATAACAGTCACAGTGTTGCGTGCAATAAATAAATTAAACTATAATTTCAAAAAGTTAAAAATATTAAATTTGATAACGAATACAGCATGTTACAATCAACTTGACAAAAGCTTTTTTTGTACATTGGAGTCAGTTAATGTTAGTAATTATGTTTGGTATTTAAATATCAAAACATATTTGTTTCAATTTTAAACTGAAACGAATTCTTGCACGCCGAGCTAGTCCGTGTATGCTGTTATACTGCTCGTACCAACTGCAATATCGAATGGTGATCTAGACGACTCATTTCATTTTGGAAAAAAAATGAACGGGAAGCATTATGGGTACCTTTACCGCCATGATTCATGAATATGCATTCTGCGCGCGCAACGCTAGTCGCCGGTGCTAACTACGGCTCATTGGTAAAGGCTGCATACTAGACAGCCCCTGCATATGTTCATAGGTAAGATCGGGAAGCAGTAATGTAGTGCCTTGATGCTGGGCCTTGGCCTTAAGGCTGCCTTAAGGCTGGACTTTGGGGCCTTGGCCTTGGCCTCGAGGCTTGAGGGCAAAAGCCTTGGCCTTGAGGGATCAGTGCCTTGCAATTTTGAGTCGAGGCTCTTCAAGGCCCATAGATATTTTCATTTTCCGAGAAATATCTGTTTTAAACTTTTCTGTTACCATTTTAATCGTGTTACCATTGAGGAGGGAAACACCCTATAGATTTGTGTGTTGTTTAGTCATCTGACTTTTTGTAAGCGAATGATGGGACTTAGAGAATTATACGTAAAACCACACAAAGTTTTAGTGAGCTGCTTTTTTCTAACTGATGATCAATCTGATTGGTAGTATATGTCTCCCTGATAAGTGCTAAGGATTTGCATGTATCTGTTTTAGGTAATGCTAATATTTCTGACCATGTTGGCCCAGCAAATAAAAATTGCCCAAATCAGTTTCTTGGATCCCCCTTTTGTTACACTCGGGAGAATTGTGCGTCAATATAGAAGTAAATCATTATTTTGCTTTAGTTAAACCATATTCATGAAGACCTGAACTTATACTTTAATAGATACATGTAAAATGCAGTCATAAAACATTGTATGTAAACATTTTGATTGCAAGTTGTTCTTCTTAATGAGCGATTCGTGATGATGTGTCATGTGACTATATTTAGTTCTATATTAGTCGTCATTTTATAAAACAGGGCCTTGGCCTTGGCCTTGAGGATCAAAGCCTTTGCTCCAACACTGTCGGGAAGTCTACATGTCATCAGTCGATTGATATTTCGTTGTTGGTCGGCTCTGCAATGGCCAACATTTCCGACGTCATTTCTTTCCCCTCAGCCTCCTACTCAGGCTTCTTCTCGCAACGTGTCCGCTCTCGCTTCAATTGCAGCTCCAGCAAACAGTATATGCCCAGGGAGAACACAAGGATGCACATGACGATTGAGATCACGTGGTAGACACACAGGGATTGTGGGATACCAAGGGCCAATATGGCAGCGGAGCCCAGAGACTGCCAGAAGCACAGATTGCCGAACGCTGCCTCTTGTTGACAAACAAACAGCATTCCCAACAGAGCTATCAAAAAAATGATAATAAAGATCAAAGTCAGTCGTTTCGACTCAAAATGTGAACCTAAATTTGTAAGGTTACAAAAACTGTATTAAAGTCAAGGAGATCAAACAAGTAATCACAATTCATCACCAGTCAAGCAAATCACAAGTCAAATCATGGGTCAATCGCGTTTTTCACAAGGAATCCCAATTCGGTGACACATTCCTTTATCAGCGTTTATTCACTGTCACCTTTCTGTGATCGACATGTGATTTGGCTTTTTATTGACATGTGATTCTTTCGATGTCACTTGTGATTTGATTGACTCGTGATGTATATTGTGAATGACATGTGTTGTGACTTGTGATTGACTTAGTGTTAACTGTATTTGACTTGTGATCGACTTGTGACTGTGACTTGTGAATGACTCGTAATTTGATTTGCGATGGCTTACTTGAGCTTATCGTAGCAATGCTTGCTCTCGCAAAGCCAACCGCCACAGCCATCAGAACGAGATGCCACAATCTGCCCTGGTCAGGGTCCCAGACCAACATGAAAACTAGTACCAGCAGGTAAGTAGCGCCCCCAATGATGAAGAGTGCAAACCTGCTGACGCACTTCATCAGCCGACCAATCAGGAAGGATGAGATGCAGCTGGAGACGGAACTGCCCATCATGACGTAGCCGACAACCTCGATCCCTCGTGTGCAACCAACGAAAAACTATGTGACCAAAGTTAGTGGATACGAGCAGATAAATTCAGACCACTGCAATAACGGAATCAATACACTATTTGATTTACAAAATGCCTATCTAAAGGGTCTATATACATGCTGAGGTTCAAGTCATCATGCGTCTATCTTAACATTTGCAGTGGTTTATTTTCAATTTGGTTGGCAAATTGCACATAATGTAAAACCGATAAATCCAATCCTGTTTCGGTGAATGTTTCGGTTGAACGCATGGTGATTATTCGGCATATCTGCTGCCACCAAGAGTTCAAACCCACCTTTGTAAAATGGCCGCCCATAAACATCACATCCACTCCCAAGTACAACAGCGTTGGTATGAGCATTGCCATGCGCGGGTTAGTCATCAGGCGGAAGGTGGCGGCAATGTTGGCCGTGATTTCCCGCCAAGTAGACCGTGGGTGTTCGCCGTCGGCCGCCACCTCTTCTTCTTCTTCTTTCCCACTAAGTCTGGTCCCGGGCTCGACTGCGTCGATTTTATCCAGGAAAACCACAGCAACTGTCGCTGACAGCACGCCGCAAGCCAGGTAGATAGAAATGAGCGTGGTGCGAGTCGACTGGTCTGGGGGCGGAGGACGCTGTGGTTGCTCTCGATATCGCCTCCTGGTGGAAAGAAAAAGTCGAGTCTAGATTACTTGGATGTGGAAGCGGCTGCAGCCACTTCCCATAGACCCGTGTTATTTCCGTAGCCAAGTAATTCGGTCGAGGCTACAGGCTACGGCAATGTTAGAATTCCAGGGATGATTTAATGGGGATAAGCCCCCTCCCCTCCCCTCGATCCATTTGTTTGGCAAAATCATATGTCTGTCTGAGCTGCATATAATATTACGAGCAATTAAAACTAATAAACATGTATTACCAATAGCGCCCAATTAGACATAGTGTGCAGCACCCCTAAATGAAATTTTTCCCAAATGCTTGACTTAGTTTTCACAATTCGGTCAGATTTCATCAACTTGATGTATCACCTTCTCTGGCCCAAACCCAGCTCTTTAAAATGCATGTAACTTTCATCGACATCACAGGTTCCGGCTTTGTCCATTTGAAATGAGCAAGCGCACGAACGTCAAGAATGGAAAATGGCCGGCATAATGTGCTGCCCCAATTGTCAGAAAAGTCTAGAATTCTCACCACATGCCCTCATGCCGCAGAAGGACACATCTGCAGTCTCTGCGTTTGACGCGCTGGCATTCCATTGGCCGATGTCACTGCTGACGTCATCACCATCATCCTCGTCCCCGGGTTGTCCATAAAACACCAATGAGGAGATCAAGTTGCCACACACCGTACCCAAGTAAGACACCGTGTGAAAAATTCCGTTGAAAATAGACCGATATCCACGGTAGAATTCCTTCCCTTGATATGTGCCATCTGGCAATGGTGGTGATGTAAGTTCCTCTTGCCACCCAGATCAAAGCGGCACCGACGCCTGGAAACAAGGCGACAGTGAGTAGCAGATACGCGCTACTACAGTAGTTGCTGGCCGTGTACACAGCAAAGAGTGAGATCCCTAACACTAGGCCCCACTTAGTGCCGAGTTGGCAGCGCACTTCGGCTGGTAACGTCAGACCTGCCAGCAAGCTGCTAGCATACAGTACCGTCAGACTCGCAAAGCCTACACTTTGTGTTAGATTCAATGTGCTTTGTATATCCTCTATCCCACGGAAGGTTACAAAACACAGAAAGAAGCTTAAACAGAAGACGAAGAGTCGCTTCCATTCACGTTTAATGGCTCGCTTGTTGTCCTCTTGTGACTGCATTTTGATAAAGCGTAATCCCTGTTTGTCAAAAAAAGTTTGATTGATAAAGTATAAACAGATGAATGGCCCGCACGTATCAGGTCAATATCAATGACCTTTGTGACTCAATCGATTAAGAATACAATGATGAATCAAAGCGTGCGGACGTTCCTATTCCGATTGCAGTAAATAAACAAGGCCAAAATTAGGTTCGTGTTTTCTAAAGAAAGATTTGTTCATCGAACACAGCATCGAGATCGAGAAAGGACAGGATATTTATTAACATTATCAAAATGAAAGTAATGTAACAAGTACATTTGTATCACATGTATATGGCTTGTAAAATGAGAAGCACCGACTTCTTTTTGATTATGTGTTTAATTTGCTGTGGTCTTACGTACATGAGCAATTTATTCCAATACGGCTACCCGCATTACATACATCAGAGTTGATGACCTATGAACTTTTGATGACTGGATCCTGAAGCAGAAAAGTACTTCAGGTCGTTCTTTACTGCGGATTTGAAGCTGTTAGCTTTTATAGGATTGAGTGTGGCTGGCTGTTCCAGTGTGGGATTATCCTAAAAGTAAAAAAAAATATAAATTGTTCAGCCATATGGTTGCGAAGTGCGATTTCTAAAGGTTACGTAACACTTTATTTTGAATGAAAGTACATGTACACAGACATGTTCACGTTCGGGCGGGTGAAATCTTTGAAAATTAATTTCTCCCGTTTGGAAGACCGTATCACGAGTTGTTAATTAACAAATATCACCCTTTTTGCCGGCTCCCATTGGTCGATACCGAGACCCACGCAATCCCTAACAAAAAAGTTATATTGTATTCTATAAAAAATAAATTCTAT